TCTATTGCTCATTTAATTTCTGATCACTAATGCTTAGCTACTGATCAGCTACAGGACCTGCTCTTACTTAATCTCAAAGGTGGACTATCTAGGTTTAAAGCAACTTAATCTACTATTTTTAAATCCCACAGCTCTTTAACAACTGCTGATTATAGTTCTGTCTTGACAAATGTTCTGCTTTGTTGGGAGTGGGTACAGTCCTGTGAGCTAATGCTGCTGTTTTACAATACTGGCTAATATACCACCCCCCTAATGGCAGGTATTTTTAAACACATATTTAAAAATAAAAACGCTGTCACCCTTATATAAAACAAACAGCGGGATTACCTGTGCATTATTTACCTGTCAGATAAGTTGCTAAATCGGCTATGCTTATTTTGTGTGTCAGGGTTTGCTGTTATATTTAAATATGTTAATATTTCTCATTAAGCCATTAACAATAACCTTCATCCATTTGTGAAAAACATTTTGCCAAGCATGCATATAAAAAATTAGCAAGTGAAGCAAAATCACCTTAATTTGCTTTGGACCAGCAAATAACCAACTAATTTGCAGAAATCCCTGCCAAGCACTCATATTAAATGCTTCATGCTTATTTTATGACCTCTGCTGCACCTCTCCTTCCCAGGCCCTGAATCATATGATCATTAACATATTGCAAGGTCTGAAACTTTATTTTTTACATTCTTTAATTAATGCCTGTTTATAGAAGGCCATAGGACTTCAGATCCAGTTAATGAAACTTCTCTCCCCCAGGCCCCTGGAGCCCAATAGAGAGGCTTCTCCACTGTTGTTTTAGTAGCTTTTTTCCAACTGTTTGTTTATACACACTTAATTGATCTCTTTAGTCCCAGAAGCATTACAGAGACACAACCTGTTCTGAGGCAAGCTAAAGTTTATCCCTTTTATAAAAGCCCCTGATTGCCCAAGGTTATCAGTTTTAATTTAAAAGTTGAAGACTCAGCTCTATCAGTATCACGTTGTAGCAAAGATAAATGATAAGGGCCCTACAGTGTTCATTTTTTTTACATTTGTACACATTAGAGACCATAAATGCAAAGTAAATAATTAGTCTGGCGAACAGTAGATCACTGTGTTTTAATTTTTTGTTTTATTTACTATTTGGACATACTATATTTCTGAATATCATGAAAGGTTAAGGTGTTCTGTAGCAGATGTCACATCTAAGGTATCCTAAACATTTGGGCTATGGATTATTCATATGTAAAAGCAGGTCTGGTGTTCAGTGTGTATGGGATAAACTAGGAGCCACAGTGCTGTCCTACCTATACACTAACAATGAGAAACAATGAGGAACCAACTGAAAATGTCTAAACCTTTGATTCAGTCTGTTAACCGACATTACTAACCCAATGGTTTCTCATGCAGTTATTTGTACAATACAAAGACTGTTGTACAAAAGTGCCAAAGAGATGACATGGCAGTCGTAACATCTGACCGCCACATTTGTGATGAATTATTTTTCCTTTGCAACTGCCCCCCCAGGAAGTGTCTGTAAAGCATGTAGACATACTGCACTTTTTACATTTAATTCTTATAGGCCAGTTCAGACAGCTGGAAAATCTATCCCTGGGTGTATGAAGCAAATAAGGATTGATAATTCAGGCAGACTTTGCTAACATTCAAGTAAATCATGTAAAAATAATTTATTTTGAAGGGTCAAATACACAAGTGTTGGGAACACACTGCACATAACATTAGTATTTTAACATTCCCACGCCAGGTGAGTTGTCATCACACTTCTCAGCAGGAGGATACTTTGTGAGAGTCAATTATAATAGGAATGGGTGCCACAACCTGAATGTCTGTTAGAACTGAAAGCACCTTTCAGCCAAGACCATTGCTTGTGTGTAATGAACCATTTGGCTCAATATACCCTTTCAGCTCAACATTTAGGGATTGCTCAATGGGTGTTAGGAATGTGTAGAAGTAACACTCTTGTGCATTGCTTATTCACAAAGTTATAATCTGCACCTTTGCATGGGAAAGTTTTTGGCTTTCCCAAGAGTAGGGTAAATACGTGGAGGTTACCAGATCTTAGTTTACATCCCATGCAGACACCAGGGACTGTGTAGAGCTGTATGCCTTCCATATGAGTTTGCACTCTCAATATTAAATCTTATTATTATAAGTTCAATATTGTCTAGTCATCTCACACAAAACATACATCTAATTTATTTATTTCAGGTACTTATATAGCGCCGTCAATTTACGCAGCGCTTTACACATATATATTGTACATTCACATCAATCCCTAACCCTCAAGGGGTGTACAATCTAAAGGTCCCTAACTTACATTCATACATACACATACTAGGACCAATTTACGCAGCGCTTTACACATATATATTGTACATTCACATCAGTCCCTAACCCTCAAGGGGTGTTCAATCTAAAGGTCCCTAACTTACATTCATACATACACATATTAGGGTCAATTTACGCAACGCTTTACACATATATATTGTACATTCACATCAGTCCCTAACCCTCAAGGGGTGTACAATCTAAGGTCCCTAACTTACATTCATACATACACACATATTAGGGCCAATTTAGACAGGATCCAATTAACCTACCAGCATGTCTTTGGAGTGTGGGAGGAAACTGGAGTACCCGGAGGAAATCCACGCAGGCACAGGGAGAACATGCAAACTCCAGGCAGGTGGTGCCGTGGCTGGGATTCAAACTAAAGACCCTAGTACTGCCAGGCAGAAGTGCTAACCATTTAGCCACTGTGCTGCCCAATATACAAATATTAGATTTTTCCGGAAAGCAAATAATGTGCAATATGCAATCAGGGATTTTTATTATTTTTATATATAGGTATATTTGAGAGGCAAAGCAACAGGTTTACTTAAATGCCATCCTCCCCAGCTATACATTGGGAGCCATCGGGAGTAAATATAGGATGATCTGTGTATGCTGCAGGTCCCAACTTTGGCAACCAATTACCTGGCACCAGAGCTGGTGCTCACATGGGCATAAAAGGAGTAATGTGTTCTCCATGCATTGAAGTGCCAAGTATGTCTATAGGCCACTTGCTGCCAAACAGAGCAGTGAGGGAGTATAGGAAATGTAAGTACATATAGCTGGAGAGAGCAGTGGATGTGTTGCTTTGTCTTGCCTGAGAAAAAAATGGGTTGCTGCAGCCCAATTTCATGATGTTTTGAAAAATTATTTATCAAAGTTTAATATATATATATATATATATATATATGTGTGTGTATACATTTATATATATATATATATAATATATATACCATAAACATATATTTGAGATGTATACATCTCATACATTTCTTATGAAATTAATATAATCATGAACAAATATTGAGAATGTCTTCTTTTCCCATAGGAAAGCAAACAAGATGTTTTTTTTGATAGCTCAGAAATATATTTTTCTGTTGAATTCATTTCTCTTCCAGCAATAGTTCAAGTTTAAAAAAAAAAAACTTCCAAAGGTTTGGAATCTTGAAACCTGTAAACAAAATCTGTGGAGCAGATAAAATTTTAAATGGCACAATGCAATTAAGCTGAATTCAATTTGAGCGCACCCTGTCCATCTGTCAGAGAGAAACAAAAGCTGAGGAGTTCCATTATTGCTGAATCCCTTCTCTTGTTAATTTGCTTGCTGAGAGATTTCAGTTTCTAGGAAGTGCACAAATTAGTGTTCAGTCAGGGCTAGATCCTTAGTAAGTATGAGCAGATGGTGGAAATCAGCCCTAATCAAGTGGCCAACGACTTTTTTTTCTGTCTGATTAAAGTATTTTAATTCTCTAATATTGACGATTTTTTTTTACCCTGCAAAATGCATCATGTGGCTAATTTCTAAAAGGACAATATAAAGTAACTATAGTTTGTTCTTGTGGTCTTAAAACAAGGGAAGTGTTCATGAAAACAAAATATTTCTCTGGCACAAACAAATGAAGCAATATAAACAGAAGGCGATAATGTGCATTACATTAATTCATGGAGAGAATGTTCATTTAGCTTAGTGCATATGCTGTATTCACTTAGGATACCCTACCATTTAAGGGAACCAGTCCATCTAAAGCCTTTTGGGTTTTTTCCTCTAAGTGTGATAAACAAACATTTTTCATGTAGAATTGTAATTTACCTCTTTTTTATTGATAAATGCAACAGTTTAGATGGATTACTCATGCACTCTAATAGACAGTGCTGGAGGGGGTGGGAAAAACAGAGAAAGCCTTTATGCCATTCCTCTAGGCTTCTGTAGATACAGCAATGTGCTGTCAATCTAAAGGGCCCTGAGCAGAGCTAGTTGTGGATATTCCCTAACAGGTCTATCATTGGTGCCAGCATCTAAGCAGCTACAGATGACAACACTAAAGTGATTTCATTAAAAAAGGAAGAGAGTTGTCACCCTATCAAAGGACTACCAGTGGTTTTACTGGCCAGATCATTAGGTGTTTACAAAATGTTCTAAAGGGTTTTTCTAAAAAATAGATAGCCTTTGTCCTATTAATATAAGCAGCCTACATCACATATATGATTTTATATATTTGGCTATTGTTCTACTGTAAACTAGATTTGTGTTTGCATGTGTTTAAATGAATTAAAGTGTCACTAAATGCTATATGTTAAAATGCCATCCTAATCTAGCATACATTGCTACACCATCACAGTTAATAAAATGTTAAATCTAATAGCACACACCTTTTTTGACCCTTAACCACAAGCCTATAGGGTACTTATACCCCCTTCCTGCCCAGGCCAATTTCCAGCTTTCAACGCTGTTGCGCTTTGAATGACAATTGCGCGGTCATGCAACACTGTACTCATATGAAATTTTTAGCATTTTTTTGGGACAGATAGAGCTTTATTTTGTTGGTATTTAATCACCTCTGGGTTTTTTTATTTTTTCTTAAACAAACCAAAAACCACTGAAAGTTTTTTTTTAAAAAAGTTTTTTCTTAGTTTTTGTTTTAAAATTTTGTAAATAAGTGATTTTTCTCCTTCACTGATGTGCGCTAATGAGGCTGCACTGATGGACACTGATAGGTGGCACTGATGGGCACTGATGAGGAGGCACTGGTGGGTGGCACTGATGGGCATTGACAGGCATCACTGATGGGCACTGAAAGGCAGCACTCATATGGCACTGATAGGCGACACTGATAGGCAGCACTGACTGGCACTGATAGGCAGCGATGACTGGCACTGTTAGGTGGCACTGACTGGCACTGTTAGACAGCACTGATAGGCAGCACTTACGGCACTGATAGGCAGCACTGATGCACACTAATAGGCGGCACCGACAGGCACTGATAGGCGGCACTGACTGGCACTGATAGGTGGCACTGATTGGCAGCACTGATAGGTGGCAGTGACTGGCATTGATAGGTGGCACAGAATGGCACTGATGGGTGACACTGGAAGGCAGCTCAGAAGGGCACTGATATGTGGCATTGATGTGCACTGGTAGGCACTGAAATGTGGCATTGATGTGGCAGATGGCATGGATGAGCACTGACAGCTAGCATTGATGGACAATGACAGGTGGCACTGCTGGGGCTACACAGATCATCAGGGCGCACTGATCATCAGTGCCCTGATGATCAGTGCACATGTCCCCTCTGAGTAATGCCGATTACTGGCTCTCCTCTCGAGCTGTCAGCGTGACAGCTCGTGAGGAGAGAAATGCCGACAACCGACAATTTTCTATTTAAACACGATCAGCTGTGATTGGACACAGCTGATCACATGATCGAGCCGACATCTTCGGCTCTTTCCGTTGATCGGTGATCACTGCCGATCGCCGTGCTGCGCGCTCCCGGAACCGCGCATGCGCGTTTAGAATGGGAGGACATCATATGACGTCCTCCCAAAACGAGAGAACCGCCTTGCACCCGTCATTGTACTATATGGCGGGCAAGAGGTGGTTAAAAGTTGTCTTTGTGTGCCCACAACAGAGTTCTCCTTTCCCATAAAGTGCTACTAAACCCAGACAACCCACTCTGCATTCACTATATCTGGTCTCCCACAGTACACAGACCATGGAAATGCAATTATTTTAGTGAACATAAACTGCTAAATACCTTTTCTCATCAGCAGTATATGGCAGTCTTGTGACTATCAGTTTCCAGATGAGCACTGGTGAAAGCTTGTAGGAGGAGTTTTCATTTTGCTTTGACTGACCAGAGAGGCTGCATAACCTGACCCTCTAGACCTGATTGGCCCTATGTCGATCACATGCACCCTCCCAAAGAAAGAAAAAGCTCTCTAGCAATACACACTAAACTGAGCATGTGCAGAGTGACTTCTAGAGCTCTGTACTATCAGCAGATGGATAGGGGACAGTAAAAGAAGGGGAGGATCAGAGAATACAGGATCAAACAGCCTTTTTACAGAATGCAGAAAATTAACCCCTTAGGTTCCACAGTGAGTATAACACACATGCTTTACTGCATATACAGACTGATTTTACTGTTGTGGGTTTAGCAACACTTTAACTTCTGTTCTAAAGCCCAAGGGCAGTGTCCTATGAGTGGCAACATTATCAAGGGACATTTTCTCTGTGCTTCTCTTTTTTTGTTGTTTGACATGCATTGTCCTTCCATGTGCTCCTTGCTGTGTAGGCCAGTTTTAGACTGGGGCAGTGGCCATTTTTTGTACATTTTCTCTGTGCTTCTATCCTCACTGGATATAGGCATTTACTGTAGTCCATGTTGGGGGTGATCATTTGAGGGAAGATCACCACCCTTGCTAAGGAAGTTGGAGCAGGGGGGAAATCAAATGTATTTTTCTGGTTATGCAACACTGTTTCACTATATTTACTAAGTGAACCCTGCTGATTGCTGTAAACTCTGATCTTAAATAGCATGTGTGATTAACACACAGAAATAACATTAACCATTATTAATATCATATATGGGCCAATGAGTTTCCATAACGCTTCCACACTTAAGTTTGTTGCACTTGGCGATACTAAAAGCTAAACTAATATTTTATTCTCTAGTTTTGCATTAGGGACAGTGTAGTTGATGAGATACTCTTATTGCATTTGCAATTTGCAATAACCAAAATAGGGAGAAGTTTCAGGGGTCCTGTCATTTGAATCATTGAGAGATATGAGAAACAAGTGATTTAATCCACTAGGAACTGAACACTAAACTTACATTTTAAGTGTAATTACCTGTTTTAAAGCAATGTTATTGGTGATAAGTCTTGATATAACCTTGCAATTTGATGAAAATTATACATACAAATTGTCTAAATAACAATTTTTAGTTTCAATGCACTAACACTTATGGCCCCAATAAATAATAAAAAGCTGCAATAACTAAGTGAAAACTTGGATAAAATAGATTAATAGAAAGAATAGTGAGTCAAAAATGGCAGCATCAAAATTAAAATAATTAAGTCACCTTGAGGAAAGCTACTTCTTCAAGGTCCCTCTATTAAAAAATAATGAATTGCATTTTATTTATGGTTATGTAAATTTTCTGTGATGTTCTCAGGAACAACAGTTTGAAAGGGTGAAAATACCAGATGTTATCTGCCATGGTGCTTGGTTATTTTCATCTTTTAGCCTATGTTTTGTCACAATAAGAAGAGAAAATGAGAACTTGCCCAGAACAGTTTTATCAGTAGAAGTTTTCAATAATAATATTGCCCATGAAAAAATCTTGAGACAACAGTCTATGTATTTAAGACAACTTTGTCGCTTCACCAAAAACAAACACAAAAAAAAACTAAAGATTTTTTCCCTACAATAGAAGAATATGAATCTCTACCTCTACTGTTGGCTGCTTGTCTGAACTCTGCTATCTTCAGCTGTCAAAGCGTCCAGCAAACACTTCAGCATTCGACATTCCAGAAGTGTAAAATACTTGTGTTTCCAGATGGGATGAATTTTTCCACCTGCTGGCTCCTATGTCATGAAATGTGTCTGGTAATGACGTAGGACTCACAGAAGAAACCACAGCATGGGGAAGAGGATTCAGGTGTTTGACACATCTGGAAGTGACAAATGCTAAAGGCTTTGCCAGACAGTTTGGAGTTGATGACTTGTTGCATGATGGAGAGTTTTCTATTGCAGGTAGCAGTTCTTCAGATTTGGGTCACAAGTATGCATATAAAGACTTCAGTATTTACACCAACTTTCTCAATTTGTAGAGCATCAGTGCAATAGCCAGGCAACTAGCATCATCCAAAAAAGATCAACAATGGCAGCCCCTATCAGGAGCGGACTTACAATTCATGGAGCCCCTGGGCAATAGGGGATCATGGGCCCCTGTGTCCTTGGCCAAACTCAAAAAAGCCTATGAAAAAGGTATCGGGGCATCTCATGGGGCCCCCTACTGACCCCGGGCCCTCGGGCACTGCCCGTGTTTCCAAATGGTCAGTCCGCCCCTGGCCCCTATGTTTCTCTCTAAAAAAATGGTTTACCTATAGATCCTTAATGGAAAGAAAATATGTCATCAAAGGGTTAACACAGAAAAAGAAATAACTGATATTTATGTATTTAGCTATTCCATATTACATAGAGAGTTAATCCAACAAATCAATTCACTTTCAATTATTTTACACTTGAATGTCCTAAATGTCTTCAGTAATCGGCGAAGCATATATAATGTGTTATTAACATTAGTGAAACAATGTTTCCTCAAAATGCAACAAAAGTTATCAAAGTTCCACTCAAGGGTCCTTTGAGTTGCATAATTAATACATTTTTCTCTTTTGAATCATGCGCCTTTAGTCTACAATTAAAAAAGGGTCAGTCTCTTTAAATAGTATTTCTTTATCAATGTATTAATGATCCAAAGCACTGTGCATATTACAAAGATGTACCTTTGTTGAATAGTTCACATAACAAGAAGAAAGCTCCAGCTGATCAAGCTATTTTTAAACTGTTAAATCTTCTGGATCAAATAAATGTCAAAAATCTGGCACTGACCACTGCACTGTTTGTTTTTTTTAGAAAGTTTTATAATAAGACGGAGCATTAAAATAGCTTAGTATAAGAAAAACATGACTACTAAATAAAAGAGTTTTATGGGAATGTGTCGAGTAATTGCTAAAATCAAGCAGTGAGATGAGTAGTGTTTAGGAGAAAAAAAGATTCTCTTTCTCTGTAAAGACCAGAAGAAATCAGTAGAAACAGACTTGAAGAACATTGGGGTTGATTTACTAAAGGAAAGAAGCAGTTCATTTAGCAAAGTGAATATTCACTTAGCTTGCTAAATAAAACAAAGCTGTATTCACTTTAATCAACCAATGATGTGCTAGCAAATATCCTGTTTTTTCCCTTCATACATAATCTGATAGTCACAGTTAAAACAGGTTCACTCTATCTACTACCATAAACTTTGAAGAAAAAAAACTACTCCCTTCAAAGTGTACACTTTGATAGGTGAAATCCCTCTACTCCTTTATTGAGTCAACCAAGTTGTGTCTGACTACATCAGTTAATGAAGGGTTATACGTGAACTACAGAAATGGTAGAACATTTTGTGAATAAATCTATGCTGTTAAGGCCCAATGCACCTGTACACCTGTGGCTTCACATATATTTACATTTGTTAGAAAAATGACGGGCTTATCTGGTCGCTTTTCTGTTCCTCCATGTCTTGCCTGCATTTGCTGCAGGTACAGGGAGGTGATGGAACTCCAAATAAAGCCCACTGGCTTGTAGTGTCAAAAGGTTTTTAATGCAGAAACCATTCAAGTTCCACTAGAAAATCTCCTTGCCAATTATTCTCAATGAGACAACTGTTTGTCAATGGCCAGTGTAATGGTTCAAGAAGTAAGGATGCCCAAAATTCACCTGCATCAAGCTGAGCTCCTTTAGCTGTTTTTATTTTTAACTGTACTATTATATATATTGCAGCGCAAGCTATCATAAAACCATCCATACATGGATTAAAATGTGGTCAGTTCAGCAGAGACTATCTGAATTTCTATTCTTGTATGGGCAGGGAGGTTGTACAGAAATTGATCTACCAATTGACTTCTGTACAACCGTGCTGTCGGATTTTCCCTGCTCAATCAGCACCACCTGTAGCACTCAGTATATTCTGATGGCAGGAAAGTCTCCTTACTGTCAGAATACAATAGCTTAGGGGGAAGGATTCTCTCATCCACATCAAGTGTGTGGATGGGGGGGGGACGGGGGGACGCGTCTTTTTTTTTTTTTTTTTCGTTCAACCCCCTGGTTGAACAACAACAACAAAAAAGACTCAATTATGGCAGCCTAATAGGACATGTTCAAAGATTCCAGGCTCCCTATAAGTAGCAGGAGGGAAAAGGGGTAAAGGACACTTTAACCAGGATAAGCAAAAGCTGACATCCCTGTATGGAGTTAAAGACGGGATGGTCTCTCAAAGTGGAACTGATCTCAAAAAG